ACATTATAACATGATATAAATCTCAAAAAAGTTAATTTTACATGATATTGCCCCTTTAATAAACACTGGCAGTTTGAATTTTCAGAGAAATTACACCTCCTAAACTACAGAGTCCATGAGGGGACACGGGGGGGATTTATTTTTTTTCCTTTTGTGTTCCCTCGCAATACTTTTTGCGTTCCCTTGCAAAAGCCTTTTATCACTGTTGTGCCTGCCGGTTTATTAACAAATTCACATGCTCACCATAACACGGGAGTTAGCCTACTACTTTAACTCAGCTTTGGATTAAATGTATCATTAGCTGCATTTCCACTGCAAATGTGCGCAAAACTGTGTAGATATTTTGTTAATGTCGAAAAACACAGTTTCGCAATTGCGGTGTTTCCATTAAGTAAGAAACGCTATTAAAGTTGCGTGAATATGATTGTTCTCACGATAAGTCATTACAAACATGGCGGCAACGGATGTAAACGAATGCTTATTGCTACCACGACACTAGCGCTCATCAGCGAAAAACACCAATTTCGATATGGCCGAAAAACCACCTTATCCTAGCGCAAAAACATTTTGTCGAGAAAAGGAAGTTTTTTTCAAAATTGACGTGTTTCCATCAAGCAAATTTATTTTCGAAATTCAAATTTGCACGTTTTCATGGTCAATGGAAAAGCAGCTACAGACACACGCATGTAGATAATTAATATGCAGATATTTGAACTCTGTGCAGCCACAAAATATCGCTGTCAATTTCCCGAACTTGTGACACGCCCTGTTTTGGTAATCGGACATTTCAAAATAAAAGTCTGATTTAACTCAGGTCATACAAAACAAACTTTTGCATGGGAACGCAAAACAATATTGCGAGGGAACGCAAAGGTTTTGCAAGGTAATGCAAAAAGTATTGAGTGGGAACTCAAAACAAGAAAAATCCCCCATGTCCCCTTGCAGGCTCGATACTAAACAGTTATTTTTAAGTGCATGCATATTAAAATGCTTTTGTTTCCTCTCCTAATAAGTCCTAATAAACTTGTTTTTATTGAACAATGAGCAAGTTCAATTTACACTTGAACTTATATACTTATATACTTATATATATTGAAGTCACTTATATACGCAAAAACAACACTTTCAACCTGATGAAYTAGATTTAAAGAAACAAAGTGTTAACCTCAAGCTGTTCAGAAACAGCAAGGTGATAATTTACAGTCCCATAAAAATAAGCAAAACACAATGATTTGTTAGAAAAACACAATTATGGCACATTTAATTGCAGATGCAGTAACCTCCCTCTTCCCACAAACGTCTGTTTGGTGTTTTGTTGTGTTGACTGAGCCCCACCTCTTGGCTGTACTTGCTGACGTAAGCGWAGATCTCATGGAGGGCACTGAGCACGTTGAACTCACTGGAGTGGAGGCGAGCCTGTTCAGCCAGATAGGCATTCATATCCTGATCACTGATGGCAGGTAGGCGGTTGATGTCAGCGTAGTACCTAAGAGCACACACACACATACAGAGACACACACAGAGACACACACACACAGACGCTCTGTCAGTGCCAAGGTCATGTGCATCAAAGCTTTTCTCCTCAGTTGAGTCGGTTCATTGTTAAAAGTCACAAAACATTCAATGATTAGGGCTTCTGTTCTGTTTGAGTGGAAAAAAATACTGCTGTTTTTGTACCACACATGGAAAAGAAAAAAATAACCTTAATTTAATAAAAAAAATGTAAAAACGTAACTTTCTTATTGTGTGAATACTTCATAGAATTCACACTGTTGAAATCATTTTTTCTTCTGTACATTTTTCGGCATCAAACTCGTTCCACAATTTTTGTGCTATTTCAACAATTGATATATCAAAACGTTCAGCTCATTCATATGAGGGTGCTATGACTTTTGGTATTTCAGCTTTTTATATTTGTTATTTTTAGCTATTTCACTTTTTTTAGCCACTTTTTTGTCATTGAAAATGAATGGAGCTGTTTTTAACAACCTTAAATCCTTTAAAATGTTTCTAAATCTTTACAGCACCTTACACATTTTGTTCTGGTTATGCTTCTTTTTCACGTTCTTGTGCTAATTCTAGCTACTTTTTTGCTAATTTTAGCTTTTTTCTGCTATTTCATCTAAAATTCTGCTTCTTTTCACTATTTTCTGCCATTTTCTACTTTTTAGTGCATTTTTCTGCCACTTTGGGCTATTTATGCTGCTYACAGATGCTTTCTGCTATGTTCAGCTATTTGCTAAAATTTTAGCTAATGTTTAGCTGCTTTTAGCTAAAGTTAGCTTTTCTTAGCTAAATACACATTTTTGTAGCTATTAAAACTTTTAAATAATTCCAGCTACTTTTTAGCAGTTTTACTGAAAATTTCAGCTGTTTTAGCCATTTTACTACAAATTATCACGTTTTTGTACTTATATGCATTGTTTCTGCTAGTTTTACACATTTTTACAAGACTTTCTCTATCTGGGTGTTAATTCCAACCTATGCCTGCTACCTTTAGCATATTTGATGCTAATTTTAGCTATTTTGTGCTATTTTCGCTATAGATCTGCTTTTTTCTACCTTTTATGCCTTTTATTCTGCTACTTTGAGTTRTTTATGCTTCTTACAGATGTTTTCAGCTATATTCAGCTATTTTAGCTCTTAGCTTTTAGTTTTCTGTTTTCAACTAGATTTGTGCTGCTTTTTACTGTTTTTCTGCAAAGTTAGGCATTTTTGCTTCTTTCATCTTTTCAAAGTAAAATGTTAATACAAATTATTAACACTTTTCCTGAAATATTTTCATCTCAATTTCAGCAGCTTTCAGCTTAAATTCACATTAGCATTTTCGCAGGAAATGCAATTTCTCCAGTTTGGATTTATTATTATGGATTCATCTTACATGCTCACACACCTTTCTACCCAGCTTTTGTAATGCGGTATGTCCTTGGCATAGAGTAGTTTGGTGGACGGGGAGTCTTTGCCCAAACGGTGCTCGGATGTTGAGCAGGAGTCCATGAACGTCTGCGCCACCACAGACAGACAGGCGTCCGTGATGCTGCTTTTGTGGATGTCAAACACAAACTGGGGATTCTTGATTACATTTACCCAGAAGCGCAGCGGTAGGCTGAAACATAGGAGAGGAAATACAGAGTTAAACTGCAGAAGGCATTCCATTCTGCAAACAAAACCACCAAATGTTCCTTTTGGGTTTGCCTTTCATTAATTCTTTGTTTGACTTTGGTTATGAGAACAAGCTCTAGATTAGAAATGGGTTCATTTTGTGGGGGGTTGTTGCTAAACCTGCAAGAGCATATGGAAATCGGAAAATTTTCAATATTAAAATAAAAAATCATTAAGAGGAGCTAGGTTAGTTTTACATATAAGCCAACGTTTCTTGTTTTAAACATTAAATAGGTTTTTCTGATGTAAATGCTGCCCCCCAAAAATATGAAATCATACACTAAGCTGTGAAAATCTATAATTCTTGCAAACAAGTTGAAACTAAACCGAAAGTTTTCACAGCTACCAGAAAACCGCCTCACCAGTTGCTCTTCCACGTGTGGCGGACGTCCATGTCGTGGATGCTGTGCCTGTCCGCCTGCTCATCGAGGAAGTCAAACATGTATTTGATGGCGAGAGGCAAGGCAGTGCCTCGGCACACAGTGCTGAACAGGGTCTCAAACAGGTCGTCCACAAACTTCTGCAGAGTGCCCTGCAGAGGAAATCAATACAATCAGAATAAAGATGTGCCACGTTTGTGCTTCTGCTGCCAATTTGTGGGATTTATTTTGTCGGGGTGTTTTTTTCTGCGGTTCTACAGCTACCGAAGGCAAAGACTCGCAGAAGAATCAAAAAGACAAATATATAAAATATATTTCGGGAGGTGGAACTCATCCCATCAATTTCTGTACATTCAATACAACTTTATTCCCAGGAAGTTCTCCTTGTCAACTTTATATTCCATAAATCATTCAGTAATTTATTGGTTTTGGTGCAAAATTTTACTGTTTTTTCTAACAAAAAAAGTACACAGTTTTCTTTAATTTCCTTTTTGATAGTCAAACATACAGCTTACATTTTATTTCATCATGACACTGATGTTTAACATCTCAGTAACTGATGATCTTTATGATCCAGTGGCGGATCTAGGATTATTCTGAACAAAGGGGCCACAATAGTCATAGAGGGGCCAAACAATTGTTCAGCATCCTTGCACACAGACCCCTGGTTTTGGTAATGTGTATATATTTAGCAGTCAYATGCTTAAGTACTTGTAATGTAATTTTAAAAAGCTTGCAAATTCTCTTTACCAATTTTACATGCATTTTTACAGTACAGAGATAAAATACTCCCAGACACACAGCAATGTGAGAGCCATCATTTGTGAGTTGAAAGWCTGTCTGCAGGATTGTTCAAACTTTAAGAAAAGAAGAAGACTTCTGTCAGCTTGATTCATGCTGGACTTTTCTATTTGGCTCATTAGTGCCTCTAGTGCAGTGGTTCCCAACCAGGGGTACGTGTACCCCTTGGTGTACGTGAGCATATTACAGGGGGGTACGTAGAAAAATTTCCCAGGTAGGGCCGTATGATTTCTACAAAAGCAGAAAATTCTAACTGAATCACCAAACTGACACAAAATGAAAAGCTGTATAAAACACGGAATCTCACAAAATTTGCTCATTTGGGGTATTTGATGTATTTTTGGACGCTGCTGTTTTCTGCACCTGGTTTATTTATTTAATTACTTATTCACTTTCAAGGCTGAGTTTTTATCTTTGTTTAATTTGAGTTGAAAAAATAAAATGCCTGAGACTTAAACGTTCTAGGGGGTTAAAGAAATAATTTTCATTTAAAGGGGCAAAATTATGTGTTTCTCAGGCATATATTTAAATACTGTACTTATAAATAAAGTATTTATGTCACTTTTAGTTGTTATTAAAATGCTGTTTTTATGTTTAAATAGAAAATAAACTTATCTTCTCATCACTTCCTCTTCTAAACTCCTTGAAATTGGCCTCTGTCTCTTTAAGAACCACCTTCCGCTTCTGTCCCGCCCATTTCGGTGCAGGGGGTTTCACGCGCGTGGGGGTGAGGGTGGGGTGTTCGCACATACACTATCATGCAGTTTACTTGGCATCTGAAAATACATTTCCTCAAAGATATTTTGAAKCTGAAAAGAGCTTTGGTGTTAAGAGCTCAGCAGACAGTTTCACTTTCACTTTCAGTTTCACTCGTTGTTTGCTTTGTTACTGCCGAGAGCCTGCAGGAATCATGGGCAGGGTGTGTGGGCTGGGGTATGGGGAGGTGTGCTCTGCCATGAGGAAGTTCAGCTTAAAGACACGTCCCAGGGGCGTTTCTGGTCCCCACCTGTCGTTTTGCTCCTCAGCATGGCTTCATAAAAACGCTGCAGGATTTCTCAAACATGCATGAATGAGTCAAAGCAAGGCTTTGGGCATGTTTTTTTATGAGAGTATAACATTATAACATGATAAAAAACTCAAAAAAGTTTATTTTACACAATACTGCCCCTTAAATCTTCTGCAGAACATTATAGTTTTGGAGAATCATCATTACGTTTGACAGAGGGGGTACTAGTGGCATGACAAAATGACTCAGGAGGTGCACAAGTCTAAAAAGATTGGGAACCACTGCTCTAGTGTTTGGACATAGAACTGCACCCAGCATCATTACTCCCAGTTAAAGGACAGATGAGTGACAGGACGGGGGCACTTCAGGGGGCCAATCAAATTTCAGCAGGGGCCACTGCCCCTGTGGCCCCGGCCCTAGCATGTTCTCAGCGCCAGAGAAAACGGCCTCATTAAAGGTTCTTGCTAACAGATATGATACCTTTGTGGCCAGCAGCCTGGTCAGGTAGATCTCGGACACCATCTTGCTGCCGCGCTCGCCCTCCTTCTGGTCCCCGTGGTCGTGGTTCTTGACTAAGTGCCAAACTTTGACGCCGCTCTCCAGGTCCGGGGTGAGCATGGGCACACGGGAGTGGGGGCTGTCAGGGCTGGTGGGCGTGGAGCGGAATGGTACATCCACACCTTGGTTGACAAATATTCATGAAAAAAAGGGGAAAAAAGGCAGTTTAAACATGTTTTCGTGAACATTTCCTGAAACAAGAACTCAAACGGGGAAAGTCACTTTTTCCTCATTTTCACATTTTCACACGTCTCAGATGCGAACATAAGGTTGACTGTCTTCATTGTGATGTGCGGCGGAGCAGGTGGGGCGTGTGTTTTGACTGCATAATCAGCTGCAGTCATTACTTTATTGGTTGTCATAGTAACGCTTCAGACATATGCAATCAATACGAGCTTTCTGGTCGTGCTGTGCTTCTCACTTCTTGAATCTCACTGCTTTGTGATTTTAGCTTCTCATTGTGTCGGACAAGTGGTTTTTAAAGTGATCGTGTCCCATTATGATTCGACTCGCCTTGAAATAAATCTGAGTTGCACATCATTTCGATGTTTTTAATAGAAAGGCTGAGATATTGCATAGACATGATAAATATTAAGTATTTGCTTTACTTTGACTGTACTGACCATATCTGCTGATGCTGCGTGGGAAGCTGGCAGAAGAAGGAATGATGAAGGAGGACATTTGTTTGGGCACCAGGGCCACCACGCAGCGGTCAGACACCTGAGAGACAAACAAAAAAAACAGCCTTGTGAGTTTTTTGTTCTCCTAAAGCAATTAGAGCAGTAATTTAAAATATTCGAAGCAGCACAAAACCCAAGGACCACATTTTCACACATGATTATAAGCTGGTAATATTGTGGTGTTGGCTAATAAAGCACTGACCTTTATTTCAAGCACAGCCAAGTGCCAAACCCAACACCTTAATCTTTTAATCTAATACATTAAAATTTCAGCAGCTGTAGAGTCCAAACACTAATTAAAAAGATATTTTAAAGTTAACTTGGTGTTAAACATTAAATGCAAACTATAGTCTGAGAAGGTTAAAAAGATATTGTTCTCACTGCTCTGCAGATTAACTGATCTTAACGTAGAAGAGATAATATTTAAATTTTGGTAGGTAAGTTAAAAGTGCTTCTAAATGTAGAAAAATAACTTAAAACATGACTTGGTCTGATGAAAACTCAATATTGTCTAAGATGCTAACATGTTGAACTGGAGACATACATGAGGTGGAGGTGATCATGCAAAAGTGTGTGGGTGTGTATTTCCAACCATATGAGGACCATTTTTAAACAAAACATCAACATGTGGGGACCTACTGGTACATATGGAGACCTAAGCTGAGTCCCTGTTTGGGCAAATGTCATTGTTGGGATGAGGGTTGGTTTAGGACTATGGTGTGAATTGASTTTAGGGTTAGGTTGTAGAAATGAATTGAAGTCAATGGAATGTCCCCATACAKATAGTATAGCTGTGTATGGGCACATTTTTGCTACATCGTGGGAACTATTTTCCAGAAAAAGGCAGCCTTGTGGGGGCTGAATGTGCATCGTGGGTACCAATACCCGGTCCCCACAGATATGGATGCTAATTWYGGGTGGGGGCRTGGGGTTAGGTTTAGGACCAASATGTGAATTGAGYTTAGGTCATTTTTAGGKTCAGGTAATTTTAGGGTAAATGGTCAGGGTTAGTCTATRATATTACTAAAAAGAAGTCAATCCACGGTCCCCATGGGAATATAAAAACAAAAGTGTGGATGTGTGTACATGCGTACACATTTTTGCTACATGGTGAGGATGATTTTTGACCATTTTCCTGGTACACACAGCCTGGTCAGGACCCACTGTTCCTTATGGGSACAATAGACYGGTCCCCATTGGAGGACATASCATTGGTGKGCCAAGGRTTCAGTTTAAGACTATAATGTGAGTTGAGTTTAGGTTAGATTTAGGGTCAGGTATGTACCTGTAAGGTTAGATTTAGGGTAAGTGGTCARGGTTAAACTGTAGAAATGACTGGTAAATGAATGGAAGTCAATGCAAAGTCCCCGGGAGGATAGGAGAACAAACGTGTGTGTGTGCACATGTTTTTGCTAGCTGGTGGGGACAATATTTCACCATTTTCCCAGTACACACAGCCTGGTGAGGACCCACTGTTCCTTATGGGGACAAAAGCCCAGTCCCCATTCCAGGAAATACCATTGGTGGATCAGGGGTTTGGTTTAGGACTGGTGTGAATTGACTTTAGATTAGATTTAGGGTCAGGTATGTATCTGTAAGGTTAGATTTAAGGTCAGGTATGTATCTGTAAGGTTAGATTTAGGGTCAGCTACTGTATGTACCTGTAAGGTTAGATTTAGGGTCAGGTATGTACCTGTAAGTTTAAATTTAGGGTCAGGTATGTACCTGTAAGGTTAGATTTAGGGTCAGGAGTCAGACTATAGAAATGACTGGTAAATGAATGGAAGTCAATACAAAGTCCCCAGGAGGATAGAAAACCTAAGAGTTTTGCAGCTAAGGATCAGTCATCCACATTATGAGATGATGTTCTTCCCCTTCTTTATGATGTATYACATCATCATCTGATCATCTGAAACCAAATCTAGCATCTACCGAATGGATTAAAAATAAAAGAGGAACCTTGTTTATCTCATTTGGAAATAAGAGGCACATCCTCATATCAAAACAAAGTTTTGATGCAGAAAACGCTGAAGATTTTTTTTCTTTCTTTGTCTCTTTTTCAGTATTTTAATAAAACATTTGCTGAAATGTCAGCTGTCTGAGGARGCATGAAGCTGATACAGTTGAGCGACAAGTAGAAGGTTGTATTTGAAGTCAGTGACCTGTGTATTAGTAATTCAGGGCTGAAAAAAAAACTGTTCACGTTCCTTTGAGGGGTGAACTGACATCAGCGCTGTGCTCGTTACCAAGCTTTGGAATTAATACAGGAAAAGAGTTTTTATTATTTGGGTGCAGTTAGCAAAATCTCAATTTGAGATGGTTTTAATTTTATTTA